ATATATATATATAGATTAATATATATTATATATTTATATTATATATTTATTATATATAATATAAATAAAACAATTAACAATAAATACAACAAATGGCTCAATTGAAATAACAATATAAATATTCAAAATAAATAAGGACTATTAAGAGCTAAACGATGTTCTTATTGCAGAGACAATATATATACATAATTACGTTAAATACATCAATTAAAAATTAAAAGATTAAAAATATGACAATAATTATATGTTTCGATTTTTAATATGGTTAGAAAGTGGTTATGCAGCCATTATTTCCTTGCATTGACACACTTCACTTAGCTGTGTAAATTGTCATAAGGTATTACATATAATTTTGCGTATAATACTGTGGAGGTGATATTAATTCATAGTATATATCTTTTATCAGTTAATATTTAATTTTTAGATACATTATTCAACGTTAATAGTTTTTCACTGAAGATGATCACATTAAAGATCGAAACATATGGCTATTCTCATATGTTTAATCTTAATTTTTAATTGATGTAATTATATATACTGTCTCCGCAATAAGAACATCCAGTGTTTGACTCTTAATAGCTATTATTTATTTTGAATATTTATATTGATATAGATAAAAAGCTAATTTGTAGAATGTTATAATAAACTAGTTTATTTTTAAAAATCCAATAAACGTTGCTCGTGTTTTTTGACCTTACTAATTTTTGTTAAAACAGAATAATTTTATAAAGTATGATTAAATAATATTTATCATAAATATTGTCCACGATATTCGTATTTGTAATTATAATTTTATTGTTATAATCTTATTGCTAAATAGAAATAAATTTTCATGAAAATTTCAATATGAATTAAAACATTTCATGATAATGACATTAATGCACATAATCCATGTAGAAGTTTTTGAATTAAAAATATTGCTCATTCACGAGCAGTATGCTGATGAGAACAAGTACGTAAAATTGATGTTTCTGACGTGAACTATACAGTGGAATCTATGTGAACAGTATACAATGCAATATTTAAAATGGGATACCCTGTATACATATTGTATCTATGTCATTCATATATATGTGTAACATTTAATCTCATGAGAGATTTAAGATTTAAAAAAAGCCGCACACATTTTTCTTATATTTTATCATTTTGTTTGTCATAAAATCTTAATAACGCTTCTTAAAAAAATTGATATATTGACGTTTTTAGAAATATGAGTTTTAATTATTTAATATGTATAAATAATGTGTATATAAAATAGTAGCCACAAATAAAATAACAAGTCATAATAATTATTATTAGTAATCACTTTATTCCATAATTCATAATGTTTATTGATAGTTACTTTTCGATTAGTCATAATTAATACATTTTAATATCCAATTGACATTTAAATGAACTCATAACTGGTGAAAAAATGATTACTAATAATCACGAGTACGTGAAATCAATGTTTCTCTTGCGGACTGTACATCATAACTCGAAACGTACATTTAGTTTTAGGGCGGCCTTTAAGAACTTTAAATATAAAAAAGAGTAGTGAGCAATACAAAAAAATGAAAGAAAACATAAAAAAACATGACATTATAATTTATAACAATTATATGTTTAGGTTAAGGTAAGATTATAATATTCATGTTGTGTTATTTTTTAAATGTGTCTACATTTCATTGTTCAATATCATTAGCATATTGAACAAACAGAAACAAAGAGTCAGCAAAATGGCATTCAAATAGCTTCATGGTATTCAATGATTACTAGTAATGATTTTTTATCAGTCACGATTCGTTTTAATATTCATTTCGTTGTAACCTGTATATACTATTAATTACAATGAATGCTTCTTGATATATACGTACTTCATATATACATATCATTTATATATAAATATCTAAAATTTTTGTTTTCGATAGCTTTTCATTATTCAAATATCAATAATATCGATTTTTTTCTAGAAAAAGTGATCAAGATTTTAGACAAATAAAATAATTAATTATGAGATAAAATGTATTTGAATATCTTTAAATTTATTATTAGATCGAATATTACCTGTCTATACATAATAATACACAGAGTTGGAAAAATAATTTTCAAAATGTAACTTTTCAAATACGTTTCTGTTACTTTTCTGTTATCGTTATAAGAATAATATAAGTAATATTTTATACTGTTAGAATTAACAAAGAAATAAATTTACGTTATAGACATTATATGCAAGCATTATATCACTTTTAAAATGGCTTTTTATTTCCTTTATGATAAAGTTCCCTA